CCCATTTCTCAGCCCACACCTTATTCCCACCATAGGTGGCAATGAACAAATTGAAAAGTGTCACACACTGTCCCTGAGACTCAACATGCTTTGCACTTGCCTTTTGTATTAAAGATCCCTGCTTTTCCATTGGAGAGGACACAGCAGTGGCTATCATATTTTCTGGTCACACCTCTGTAACTTTTAAAATTTTGTAGAAAGAAAAACCATGATGGAAATTTACAGGAAAACAGGAAGGAGTGTACTCTGAGTCTTGAGGCTTGAGAATGTGACAGTCATGCTGAAAATGACGGAGTGGGTCAGAGTGTAGAGAAATTGATAGGAGAGTCATTCACAGGGGGTCAGAGAGAAAGCATGGGGGAAAGTACAAAGAGAAACTCACCCAGGGGACTGAATCACATCACATTGCCAAAAGTGGGTGTCTTAATCACCTTCTCATTGCTGCACGACCATGTAAACTGGAAAAGGACCCAGCCCAGACAAGCCTTCAAGAGAAGCTGGGTGACATTTGTTTTGCAGTCTTGTGACAGACCCTGCATTGTCACCTGATTCTCAAAAACGGTGAGATAATCCATATGTCTTATTCTAAGTGACCAAAGTTAAGCCAACTTGTATAGAAATACAATGCAGATCTTTTTTTACACAGAGATTGGCTCAGAGTGATTCAGAGAAAAGCTGTATTGTGAGTGCCCACCCTGCCGCCCCACACCAACCCTCCACTTCCATTAGTATCTCTGAAACACATCAGTTCCAGGAATAACAAAAAGAATGATAAGACATATTGGTGTTGCCTCGAGATGTAGCAGTGTTTAGCTCAAACCAACAGAAAACTTGATGGAATTGATCTCATAGAAATAGTTTATTGGACTTATCCCAGACTCCAAGGCCAGGTGGCTAGTGCTCATAGCATGATTTAGATATCACCTTCTTTCATCTTCTTTCTCTGATAGGTGGATTTTTGAAATTACTAATAGAACAGATCTCTACCTAATGAGACACAGATAATATAGTAAGTAGGGAACGATGCATCATAAAAGTGTACAATAATACAAATTATGTTAAAAGAGAAAACTCAAAAGATCATAAGTAGTTCATCTCTTTTATTTTTGCCTGGGAGATTTTTTTTTCTTGTACTCAAGTATTTATAAGAGAAAAGGTATCATTTGAGAGCTATATATGAAATATATAAATTTTGTTTATCATTTTTACTGTCAGCTCCTAGATCAATAACCACCCAAAGAGCTAAGTTCAAAACAATTGACATTTTCTCACTATTAGAAATACAATAATTTTGAGCCGGGTGTGGTGGCTCACGCCTGTAATCCCAGCACTCAGGAGGCTGAGGCAGGAGGATCGTTTTGAGTTCAAGACCAGGCTGGGCTACAAAGTGAGCTCAAGGCCAGCCTGAACTGCATAGCGAAACCTGTCTCAAAAAAAACAAACAAACAAAAAAAGAAATACAATAATTTTGCAAAGATAAATATATAAGACTATAAGACTGTAGATGACTTTCAGTTGGAGGTGGTTTATACTGTGAGAAAACAGTTTATAGGAATAGTAATACTTGATTCAAGTGCCTGGTGATAAACACTGTTAGCAAGAATTACAGAAAGGGTGAGCCTATGATTCTATGTGTTGGAAAACTTTTTAAATTATTTGCTTTCAAAATATAATTATGATAATAATAATAATTAATAATAGTAATTCTCAGAAAAGTTTTGAGAATATTTGACTTGAAGGAGTTTTGGGGAGAATGGAAGAAGTAAAATCAGCAGATTATTTCCCTGACATGCCTGAGTCACCCACTTATTTCCTACACAGCATTGTAGAAAGAAGCCTTAGAAGGATTCAGAAGTAAAAACGGGTCACATTGCAGCAAACACCGACTTTGGTGTCAACAGGCCTAGATACCTTTGGTGCCTACTACCTATGGGACCCTAGGTGTTTCTGAATTGTGCAGTTAGGATTTCACTAGGTTTATCTGATATTTGTGGTAAAATATAGACTCACTCAACACAGTGCCTAGGCATGAAAGATATTCAAATACTAGTAAATGTTATTGTAATCACTACTTAGAGAGCTTGTCATCTTCGCAATGTGAAGGGGTGTGTGTAGAGTGGCAGGAACCAGAAGCAGCTCATAGTTGAGGAATCTCTATTGCCAGAGCTGGCCTCACAATGCCTTGACTGGGTGCTGAAGATGAGAAACACTCACAACGCTGTCACTAGATCAAGGCGTACTTGTGTGTGAATTAACAAAAGCTGCCCTTTCCCAAGACATCTGCAGGAATGTTGTCGTAATAAATGTAAAAATCTATAGTTATTGCAAAAGTGAATGTTGATCTGTAGAGCTATATAGTGCTCTACCTGTAGAACTGTACATGGTCACCTTGAGTTATAGCCTCAAGATGACTCTACCCTTGTTTTGTCTTTATTTGCAACCATTTGTATTTTATGGGCCCTAGTGGACCCTTTTAATTATTCTGGACTGATGTTGGGTACATATGTAAACACATTGTGTTGTACTGATATGAGAAAGGAGTTTGCAACACCAAAAGGAAAACAATCAGACTGCAGAGAGGACTGAGTGGTAAGAATCTGCCCCCTCCTTATCGTACCTCCTGGGGTAGCATGAATTAGTGCCTCCACATTGAGAAGAACTGATCCCAGATTTGGGTTACATACCTTGCAAGGGTCAATCAAAAGTAAATTAGTCCTTCCTTACATAGTTAAAATAAGGTACTCCTTACCCTGAACGTTGCTTTGGGTTGAAAATATAAACACATTTGGGAAAGGTTGAATGTAGGCTTCTTGGGGAAAGAGGTTGAACATGAAAGGCTTCAGCTACAACCTTGAGTCAGGGAATCTGAGAGCACATGTGACTTCCAGGTGGACAGTGGGTAGGGGAAGCAGGAAGCAGGCCAAGGTCCCAGCAGGACTGCTGTCCTGGAACCACGGATCAGAGCAAACTCGGACCTCATTATGAAGTAACAAGGCTGGTTATAAACAGTGGGATCAGGTGACATTAAGGATCTTGCCAGCAGGTGAGGGCTAATTGCAAGAATGAGCAGAAAGCATGGGTATTAGTCCTATCAGGTAGGATCAGCTAATTTTGAATAGCTTTGGGGCTATTTTTCCATAGGAACTTTTGAACCAAGTTCTTGAGACTGGGTAGAACCAAACTGGTAAATGACACTCACAGATCCCCACTGTGGGGGGTATTAGCGTAAGCCTGCAGGACGTGCTGGTCCAGTGCCATCTGCCTCAGCCTATCTCCTCCTGCCCTCTCTGTCTCTGCTGGACCCTCAACGTAAAGGTCTTTGGTCTAACCCCTTGCTTCTCCCTCTGATCATTCCAGACTCTGCCACCAGGTAACCTTACCCTAGAACTCACAAGACAGAGCCAAGTCCTTCCCTTTGCAGTTGGAGTAGAGTGCTGCATGACAGAGGATGAAAGAGAAAGTCTTGCATTTTTTAAGAAATATATATGTCTATCAGAAACAACAGCATTCCTTGAGCATCATCCCTTTCTGTTCTTGATTTTTGTATTCAATTAGTGACTAGTGAGATTAGTTGTCTCAGTTTCATTCTTATCTGACTTTTCTGACCTCTCCATTAACAGCCTTTCTCTCCTGCACACACACACACACACACACACACACACACACACACACACTGACACTTGAACTCAACAGTTTCCATCCATCATCTGCAATCTTTGAAATCATTTTGGGTTTCTTGAACTCTATACTACTTGCATGATCTCTGTCTACTTTAAAAATCTCAAGGTTTAACTTCTTCTGATGCCTATTAGTTTTACCACTTTGTTCCTTACGTTGTTGGTTCACTCATTGTCTTGATTACTTTTCTCTAGTTTCTGGAAGGTTTAAGTCCATAATCAGCTGGCTCCAAAGCAGGGTGGCATGGCACAGGGGCAGCAGACAACAGCAAAAGTAGCAAGAGCAAAGGACAGGGGCAAGCCTTTTCTACTCCCCACTATATTGTAAGCAGGATGCTACACCCCGGGTGGGTGTAGCACTCCCATCACCTAGGAGCCCCCTCTTCCGCAGTAAGAACCCTGACTCACTGCAGAGTCGCTTAAACTTCTAAACTTCTCAAGTTGACACAATGTATCAACCATTACATTAATATATGGAGAGGTTGGGTTTTGCAGGATCTGAAGAACCCAATATAATAAAGTCTTCCACACAGTAGGGATCATGATCTGTGCAGCTAATTAAAGTCCTCTATTTACATTCACTTGCTTCTCAAGTGAGAACTTTAGTTACCCAACAAATACTTATTTGAAAACTCATCATCCTCTTCCTTTTTCTTTCTTTCTTTCTTTCTTTCTTTCTTTCTTTTTCTTTCTTTCTTCTCTCTCTCTCTCTCTCTCTCTCTCTCTCTCTCTCTCTCTCTCTTTCTTTCTTTTTCTGCGTTTTTGGTAAAGAGATTAAAGCCAGGTCTTTCACATTCCCCACCCTTTTTTAGTTTTTAAAATTCTGAAACTTAGCTAAATTGCTAAGATGCTCAGGCTGGGAAAAAACTAGCTATCCTCCTGCCCCAACCTCCCACAGTGCCATGATTCTAGGTATGCACCACCATGCCTGGCTTGAAAACTTCTAATTCCAAATGCTTTAAATCTTTTAAACTTCTGTGCTTTGTGAAATCAGAAAGTTTCTAAAAAGTGTATCTTTTCAACAAATCCTGGATTTAAGTCTGGATGAGAAATAGTTATCACAGAATCAGCTGGGAAGAAAAAATCTTGATGGAATGCTAAAGACTTCCATTCTGCAAGATGATGACATATTTTTGGACCCTGACTCTGTCTCTGGAAAGGCAAGAGACTGTAGACGATGCTTTTAAAATCTGGTTAAACGTTGATATACAAGGACAAATTCATTAATCACATTAATTTGATTATCCTAAATCTGTGAGATAGAAAGTTCTCACTTTTATCCACCCTCATTGTTACCTTTGAAGCAGCTCTCCATAGCAACTGAAAACGTCTCTGGCTTGAAATAATCCCCTTCAGCTCCCAGCACACAGTCAAAGAATTTTAAAAACAGAGGACTTTGAAACCATGAAATACTCTCCGAGATTTCAAAAGCTGTGGTGCTCCAGATAAAAAATCATTTATGTTTCTTAAGGTAAGATTTGGGTTTAGAAATGTTAGTATGACCCTCTGTCAATTTTTAAATGCTAACCTAAGAATCTTACACTTTATCTGTGATCCCCTCACCCCCCATGTAATTCCAGCATCTCTGCTCTGGGCTGGGATCTGACATGAGATGGTGTTAACACTTTATATTCCTTAAACAAAAAAATTAACTGAAAAGCTTTGCTTTTATCTCCAGAAGTTGACTGGCTCAAAAGTTATCTCTGGCCCTTTTTTGGACCACTGACTGAAAGCATTGAGGCTCATGAAGTTTTGAAATCCTCTTGCTTTCTAAGATACTTCATTCTCCAGAATCTTGACTTTTAGTAAAAGAAAAAGAAAGATCAACTTTTCCTATTATCATTTTCTTCTAGTACTTTTCCTTGCCCAAAGCATTTTTACTTAAAAATTATAATAGTAATTTATTCACGTTTCATTTTTTTTAACTTTCATTTGCTTAATTTAATGATGAGGAAGAGGAATCTAGAAGGGTTCTTTAAGATGTGAGAGGGTGAAGCTGGTCCAGTCCTGCGGCCTGTTTTGGTACCACCTGTAGAGAAAGGGAAACATTTCCTCTTCCTAATGTTTGTCTGAGGTTACTTCAGGCAGAGACAAATCTAATGGTGTCTTAACTGTTTGCCAGTTTGCAAGTCTACAGCCATAGTATTTTCCAGCCTGCTGTTTGGGGTTATAAATTACCTACAGATCCCCTGGGGGTTAGGAACAGCTTGTCTTTCCAAATCAGCTTAGCCACCTAATTAATGAGTCCTTTCAAACATGTTTAGGCACAATAATTGAAGCCTTTATTTTTCCCTTATACCATAGAAATTTCTTTGCTTACAAGTTGATCCCATTAACAGCCACCCACTTGTCCCTGTCTAATACAGACTCAAGGTAAAGGAAGAGCGGAAATGTGCCTCTGGACCAAGCTTTCAGTGTATGGGGTGCCTTTGTTCCTTCTACTCAGCCTTGCGTCCTGTACTGAGACGGACAAATCTTCAACCCAGGACAGCAGCAACCCGGGGAGTCCAGGCCAACTGGCAGAAATACTGCAACTTCTCGCTGCTGGTGATCATCCACCCCTCAACCACTCCAGGAGCCTCATCAGAACCCTGCTGGAGAAGACTGGGTGCCCACGGACACACGGAACGCGGGGAGACTGCCACCTGGTTAGTGACATAGAAGGGGATCATGGAGCAGGGCATGTTCAAAAGACCATTGCTTCAGAAAACAAACACCAAATTTCCAAAACTCCAGTGAACAATGGATTGTGGTAAAATAGTTTGTGTTTGGAATCCAGCAAACTTTTCAGCATTCTTTAGATAGTACTTAAGGACAGGAGCACTTTGTTTTACCACCTTAAACTTCTAGAAACTTCATGCATGTTTAGAGGTGCAGTATTTATTTGTAGGCATGAACTTTGCTTTACTTTCTTGCTTTCTCCCTCCCTCCTTCTCTTTCTTTCTCATTTCTTTCCTGCACCAAACGTGCATATACTTAAATAAGTGCTGTTTTCTGTAGCATAATCTTAACAATCTTACATTTGTTTCATGTTCAGGTTTTAAGATTTTCTTAAAACCTTGTATTCTCTAGTATCTTGCATGGCACAATGATTGAACAATCATCATAATGATGAGGGATCTTAGCTGGGAGAGAGCAATTTTGTAGGCAGAGCTGAAATTGTACCCATGGTTCTCTGAGACCCACTCCACAGCCTGACCTATCAGCTGAGCAGGTTTCACAGAACGTTTATATAAGGGCTTCCTCCTCTCAGAATGAGACTCAGCTTGTCTGGAATGGAAATTTTAAAAGTCTCTCTGGGTCACTTTGGTACGAAGTGAGTGAGGGCTGAGAATCCACCCATCTGGGTAGTTGGTGGCAGGGTAGAAGGTTTAAATAAAAGCAGAAAATGAAAGGAAAACCATGTCATAAATGGACACAAACAAAATTCAGCCAAATCACTCTGCACCACCCCTTCCCGACTGTTGAGATTTTTTAGGTAAAGCCTACAAAAATATAGATAAGTAGAAAAAATAAATAAGTTCATCAGAAGCAAGTAACTGCTTCCTAATATAAATTTTAGAAGATTTTCTCAGTCATGCATAGCTCAAGGGATAGGGTTCGGAGCACACTGCCTAAGTGTTGTTTTTTAAAAGTATTTATTTATTTATTTGATGACATAAAGGGTCTTACACATAACACTTTTCTCTGGGTAGACCATAAATAATTCAATAATTATTAAAATGTCCAGTGGTTCCCAGAGGAAACGTGTTATAATAGGCAGCTCATCTGTGATGACATTAATATATCTAGATAGCAACAGAAGATATCCCACTGGAAATAACCAGGAGTCATATCTTATTAATGTCCTCTGAGAATTTGCTTCAGGGCAATGTTCTGTTTTAATGACATGAAGTGCCTTATTAAGGCTGGTTGAGTATTAGTTTTGCTAGGGGGAATGTAAGCAAGCAAAAATATTCTCCATATTTGGGGCTGGGAGGAAGAGGTTGTTTTTCAATTTATTGTTTTCTGTGACATTATGAAAGGCTTGGCCAATCTGGCTTCTATTTGAATTATTTCCATTCTCAGGCCTTGAAGCAGTCAGTATAATAGTTTTGCTCTCGTCCTGCTGCTCTTTTTCTCTGAAAGAAGCTGAGGTGAAACAAATGTGAATCTCACTCAGCCTCACCTGCTCAAGGGCTTCGGGTCACCCGATCCTCCATCAGTGAGGAGCCTAGAAATTGTCCTCATCTATGAGAGGCTGGGGCAAACAGGGTCCTCTCAATTTCATAAAGAGAAGGAAAATAAGTGATTTTATATTTCTAAAAGAACCCAGGGAAGTCAGTATCTTGAAATTGTGCAGAAGAAAAAAATGCTCCCGACGTTAGGTGTAGATAAAAAAATTAAATTTGAGAAGTACTGAGAATGTTGGACATTCAAAAGTAAATCTATGCATGCTGCAGCCTTTGAAAATGGATATTTCTTAGATGATACTGACTTCTCTCCCTCTTTTCTTCTTTGAGAATTAGAGTTTTAATGGAAATAATAAGGGATGCACTGACTCCAAAGAGTAAACTTGTCCATAAAGATGAGCATCATGGTCCTACATAGGTTCCTGAAGTGAAGAGTGCCCTCCCTGCTCTGGAAGTGGAACCTTCTAGTTGTTAGGATATGCTGAACCTTGGTCTCCACTTCTATGGATGTTATGGTGGGGTGGGGGCAAGGAAGTCCCCCAAAGAAAAGATGTACAATTCAACTTTGCCCTCAAAGTAGGTTTCAGATTCACTTTATAGCAAAAGAATTTTAGAACACATCAGTGTGAAGCAGACAGGTTTATTAGGCAGAGTTAGAAGTTAAGAAAGAATTGGAAGAGGACTCCAGCTTGAGTGCTTGGAGGGGCTCACTTTTATGAAGAGGTTCAAGATGGCCTGCTCACAAAAGCACAAGCTCACAATGATTAGCTGAGGCAGGCCAAGGTGTGGTTGGTCTTTATCTCAGCCTGGTTTCTACCTCTTGAAGGATCCTTATGGCTTGAGAGGGCATTTGGTTCCCAAGACATTATCATCCTTGCTTGGGAGGAGGCTACCTCTGTTCCTATCATGGGATAATTTCTCTGCTTGGGGAGGTTGTCTCATCCTAAGGTGAACTCAAGGCTCTGCTTTTCCTGCAACCTGAGTTTTTTGTAGGTTTGGGGACTCCTAGGCATTGCTTCAAGGAGGTCTAGACCTGGACATTGTACGAGCTGGCAATGAGTGTCCCTGTGAACATTGTGCATTTTTCCAGTTACTCGTATCTTAGTTTCCTCAGTCTTGAAGGAAGTGAGATAGACCAGGAACATGTAGGGTTAACGCATCTTGTTTTGCCAATTTTTCTTAAATGATTATTATTCCCATATGCAGAGCTGAACAAGAATCTGACCCAGAGTTTTAAGTTAATAAGGAAGATAAAAAATTGAATTTCCTTGTTGCTTTTTGTAGATCTTTATTTCTTTTACCCTATCTTAATAGGACTAAGGTAATGACTCTCATTGTTGGGAAGATATCTCTGTGGGCATGCCATGCACATATAGCCAGAGGCTAGACAAAGGATTGAAGCTTCTTCTGTTTCCTCACCTTCCCTGTACCTCACAGTGATGTCTGATGCTTCATTTCCTAGGGACATGGGAACAGTAACATTCTTCAGAATTCATCCTCTCAACCAATCCCTAGATCTCTTCTCAGCTATCCCAGATGCTTTGGTTTTTGACTAAGTTCTCCAGACAAATTCTCAGATATATTCATGTAGAATTCACTGTCATAAGGTTCTCCATTCATTCTACCTACCTCATTGATTTGTCTTGATTTTTATGGATAACATGTAGAAAGTGTCAAGCATTACTCATTTATCTAGAAAGTTTCTTTTTAAAAAATTTAATTCTGTTAAGACTTCTTTTTGTCAGAAGATCCATGAAATCTCCTATGGAACCAGTAAAAGTCAGTCCCTGCCATCAGACAACATCCTTCCTGCTCTGCTTGCCAAGAAATGAAAGAAATATGTTACTTATTCTATTTTAAAATCAATTATTATCCTTAAAAAAGATGACCACTATTAAAAAAGACCTTATGGAAATCTAAGAACCTGAAAGAAGATAGTAGGTGTACCCATGTGTCAAAATGAAATGTTAAACATCTTTGAGGATAAAGCCGCCCTAGTTTACCCTGCAAGTCTGATGCCTGTATTATGGATGTAGGGAAAGAATACTATCACATCTTACCTATATGAGCAATAAACAGACCAGAAGTTACATAGCTGGAGGAGGTGATCTGATTGGGTGTCCAGGTATGACAGACAATTACCATCAGGTGTCCAGATAGCTCATTTAGATGTAAAGAAGGCCTCCACCTTAAATTTAATTGTTTTCCCAAAGTTTATTTGTTTGCAAATTCTTTAACACTTATTCCTAGATTCCTGACAAGCTTTAAAAGGAAATCAATGGATTATTCCTGAATGAGTTCGTTATTCTTTAACAAAGAATCACTTCACAGGAGTCAGCAGCTTGGACTGATCTTGATGGCTATGGGCCTCAGTATTGGAAAATTGTGTTAAACATTCTTCTCCAAACACAATTTAGTCAGCTACTCAACACTTTAATGACAAAGCCAAATGTCATGGTAATAAGTTGAAAATCTTCATTTCCCCTGCCCTCCACTGGTCCCCACCATGCTTCTTTTCTGTCATAGATTTACCCAGAGGAGGAATTTTTATTTTCTTATTTAGTGCTTCTGATATTTCCCATGGCATTCTTTCCTCATGCCACTGTCTTCCCTATTAAAGTAGCTTCTCTAAGATTTAAATACAAAAGGGAACAAAGTTCTCAGTTCAGTCATTTGATTCCTGGTTATGCTTTATTTCTGCAGGCCTCAAAAATTAAACTCAGGATTAGGTAATACCTATTCATTCAAGATGACTGAAATCACCACTCAAGTAAAAGAAAGTGCCGCCATGACTGACTTAAACTTGTCAGAAATCAGTATTATCTTCACATGTATGTTTCGTTACAATTCTAGGACGCTTATCTGTACGGTTACAATGCATATTCTTTCCTCAGCTGTCCTCTGAAACACGCACCCTTTTCTAACCCTGGAAAAGTGTACAAAGAAACGCTGAGGGGACAGTGAAGGGACAGGAGTCTCCTTAGACACCTCAGGTGGGATGAGACGTGTTTGTCGGCCAAGCCCTAGCTACCTGCATACGGCCTGGTGACCCCGTGTTCATCCTCTCCTCATGCTGTAAGTGCTCTTCTTCTTCCTACTGGTCCAGCCTCATAAACAGCCTGAGCAGCACTTGACTGTACAGCAGCATGAACTCATCCAAGCTCTAGTCTCCTGTTCTCTTGCCTCCTAATTGACTTCTCCTCCTACCCAGAAGGAAGGAGAGAAAAAGAATGGTTGAAGAGGCTGTACCTTAAATACATGGAGAGCCCACAACTTATGCCTCCATGGCACCAAAGAAAGGGATTAGAGAATAAGGCTGTCATTGGAAGAGTAGGATTTAAAACTGGCACGACTAACTACAATTAGCTATGTGACTTAGACACGTTACTTACTCTCCCTTAAATTTGGTTTTCAGCTATCTTATAACTATAGTTTTTTTTCCTTTTTCTTTAAAAAAACTAACAAGCTATCTAGGTTTTCAAAACAAGATGCTAGGATTTAACAATGATTGTTATACTGCATATTGTTATCTTCAAAATAGTTGCTCAGGTTACCAGATACAGAAATAAAACAAAACAGTAAAACAGAACAAAACATTGGATTTCACAAACAACACAGAAGGAAATCCCTACAGTTGCCACAGTGCAGACTGCCATCCTCCAAAGAGATGCCCAGACCATCAGCCCCAGGCCTGCAAAGTCAATCAAATAGTACAAGCATCAAGCTATTCCTTTCACGTCAGCTGCTGTCATGTCACCCTGAGTTCCTCTGACTCAGCCACTCACTTATGGAGGGGATACTCTTCTGGTTTCCCAGTCCATGAACCGGGAGGATGTAGTTCATCTTCTTGCTGAGTCTCTTCCCATTCAACCCACTGAGGATCCTGGATCATGGGAAGGCCTATAGATTTTTTCGTAGAAGAAAATTTTTGTTCTATTCTGTGCACTATCTTTGCCTATTGTGTACAGATACACTCATTCATTTGTTAAACTTTAAATAATTACATAATTGTATGATTGGTAGTCTAAATACTTTCTGTGGAAACATTTGGTGGATTATTGTATCAGATGAGAATATTTTATTTTCCCATTTAATATAATGAGATACAGTTTCCAGTATCAAAATATTCATCGCCCTAAAGATTTTCCAAAACCAATTAGACTGTATTCTGAAGAATACTTGAGTACATTGTGTTCTGTATAGGACTGGTCATTAAACAGTAGCTAACACTACCAATGATTTGGTATCAGAGGTTATTTGGCTTTGTTATACTTTTGTTTCAAATGAGTTACCACTTTGAATCTTGGCATCAATTCCATAAACCAACACTTGAACCTTTTCTTGGGAGCCACTCAAGGCACAGAAAATGGCAGCTGTGGCTTCAGAGGTGAAACTTAACATCAACATTGAAAGTCGCTCTTGTTGTGAATCTTGTGCCCCCTCTGTCAAGTTCTTGACTGTCTTACAATTGAGTTGAGAAAGGATTAAAATTTGTGTTGCTTTGAAAATAATACCATTATGCTTTGCTTTGGTGATAGACAAAATTTGCTTTTTCCTGAGGCAGATGGTTTATACCAGATGTTACCCAGTGGGTTGCCCAGCAGACATGGAATTAGAACTTTTAAAACATCTACTTCATAGAAGAACAAATGAAAAAAACACTGTAGTAAATTGTCCACACAGTGGGACAAATATCTCAGATTCAGGGCAGACATTCCTCAATGCTTAATGCTGAAAGGGTTGTTGTTGGGTAATGAAGTTGCTTCTCAGACACTGGAGAACCCTCAAGAGCTCCCAACTGTTTTGAAGAGAGTTGTTCTTTTCTTGCTAAAACAGCTTCTCCTCCCCAATTTTTTTGTCTAGTTTTCTTCTCTGCGTTCCAATACGGTGATCCAAACATTTTATGCCAGAGGAACTTCTGAGATTAGAGGAATCACTTATGCCTATAGTTTGTGGTAGAAAGTATCATAGCATAGGATGAAATAAATGTTTCCCTCCTTTATCCTCTTAAAAGCTGTGATCCGGTCTTGTGAACCTAACTCACAAAAGGCGAATAAACAAGAAAAAAGAAATGCAAGTTTTATTTATGGTAAAAATTGTTATGTGGCATTGGAAGCCTCATGAAAGAAGTGAAAGCCTTCAAAGAAGTGATTAGACCCAGGAAACTGTATACCATTTTAACAAAGAGCAATGCACTATAGAGATGTGAAAAGAACAGAAAACAGGGGGGCTGTGGCAAAAGTGGTAAATTGTAGAGAAAATGACTGGGAAACACAGGAGGGTGCTAATGGATGCTAAGAGTTGTTTTGTAGTTTGATTGTATGCATTGAGATCCACATCAACTCCTAGTCTCCAGGGATAAGAGCATTCTCCTTTACTTGGTACAGGGAAGACATCTTTATTAGGAAAAATTTAGGTTAATAGGGGAAGGGTAGAGAGTTTTCTATATCTATTATTTCTCAATTCCCTTCAGCTGAAAATAATCAGTTGCCAAAGTGTTAGATTTGGGATATACCACTTGGAGCATATGTTCTGATTCCTTTTAATGCAAAGCACTTTAGAATTCTCTTAGCATGGTGCTCCTTCCTTGAGTTTCTGTACTTCTTTAGTGCCAGGTATCCTGCTATATGCTGGAAATATGCTGTGCAAAACAGACAAAATCTGGCCTTTGTGGACCACTGTTCTCATAAGGAATAGAGAAAATAAAATGCAAAGTAATTTTACAATACCACTGCTATAAAGAAAATGAAATTATGATGTTCTAGAGCTGTATTATCCAACATGGTAGCTTTAGCCATTCATGGCTATTGGGCCCTTAATATGTGGCTCATCAGAGTTGAGATGTGCTATAAATATAAAATATGCACCAATTTTTGAAGACTCAATCCAACAAAAAGAATATAAAATATCTAAGTAATTTAAAGTTTTTTGTTTATATGCAAAAAGAAATTATCTTAGATATGTAAATTTCTATAAAATATTGTTAAAATTAACTTCACCTGTTTCATTTTACTTTTTAAAATGTGGCTTCTAGAAGATTCCAAAGATGTAGGCAACTTGCGTTATGTTCCTTTTGGACAGTGTTGTGCTGGGGGACAGAGATGAGAGGTCCTGGGAAGGCTTCTCTAAGAAGGAAGCATTTTAAACTGAGATTTGAGAAGTCTGGGGAATAAGCAGACCTGAAAGGTGTGGGAAAGAGCGTGGTGCGTTTAGTGCAATGATAGTAAAAGGTGAAGATAAGGTAGGGGAGGTAGGGCATATAGCAGCCACAGCAAGGAGAAACAGCAGGGAATTTGATTTTATCCTGTACAAATGTAGCATCATTTGAAGAGCCAAAGCTTTGGATGGTCTTATGTAAAGTAAAACACATACAACTTGTGGCACCTGGAGTTGGGCCAGAGGGATCTCCCTTAGAAAAAGGGCTCACTAGGAGGGCTCACTGTTACATAAAAGCAGCTGGGCATTATAGCACCTGCATGTAATCCCACCCATCTGGGAGGCTGAGACAGGAAAATTCTAAGTTCCAGCCCAGGCTGGGAAATTTAGTAACTTAGAGACACCCTGCATCAAAATGAAAAATAAAAAAGAACTTGAGGTACAGCTCACTATGAAGGCCTTAGGTTCAATCCCTAGTACTGAAAGAAAAAAAGTGTAATCACGATAGATTTATCTATATTTAGTTATTGGACCTAACTACGTTTCTCATCTTTTCCTGAAGTAATCATTTGGGCCACTGTCTTGTGGTTGTTAGTGTTCTGGTGCTATTTATTTTTTGTGCCTCTTTGTCTTTTACTTTTCTCCCCATAGTGTTTTGAACCAGATGCACTGATACTAATAGCTGGAGGAGATCTCGAAGAGCAGCTTCAAGAGGAGGTCATCCAGAGGGTGTCTCTTCTCCTCCTTTATTACATCATTCATCAGGAAGATATCTGCTCTTCAAAGCTCAACATGAGTAATAAAGAATATAAATTTTACTTACGCAGCCTGTTGAGCCTCCGGCAGGATGAAGACTCCTACTTCCTCTCACAGAATGAGACAGAAGATATCTTGGCTTTCACTAGGCAGTACTTTGACACTTCCAGGAGCCAGGTAAGAAGGGCACACCTGATAACTGGTTCTGCTACTAAGCTACAGTGTCAGAGCCTGATTTTTCGTCACTTATTTTTCATGAGACATTCAAGAACTTCCAAGGGAGATAAGTATTTATGGTTTTAAACTATGACATGCTAAGTGACATAATTTAAAAATTCTGAGTCAAAAGTGGAAATGGAATGACTAAGTGGAAGATGAGTTTAGCCAGAAGCTGGGTGGGCGGGTAGGTAAGCTAGCCAGAGGACAGGTCAACTCTCTTCCCCTGAATCCTCCTGCGCACTCAAATCAATGTGACTTAAAGCTTTTTGATCCATGTCCAAGGACTGAACTAAAGTGTGGAGATCAGTGTGCCTATTTGCCTTGCCTTCCTATAGAGAGACAAATTTATCTTTAGTTATTTTGCTGAAGAAGCAGCTTGCAAACAAGCATTATTCATCATAACCAGCTCAAAAAAAATATCCTTTTTGTGGCTTTTGATTTGTACTGCATATATACAAGACCCATTCAAATGCTTTTCATCTCTCCCAGTTACCAGTCTTAAGAAATGGGCACTTGGTCAGTGGTGCCATCATTAATATTCTGCCAAAAGCTGACCTTTCAGTGATGCTATTTATTTATTTAATGCCAGGGATTTGACCCATGTCTTCATGTGCACACAGGTATCAATGATGCTTTTGCTTTTTAAGTTACAATAGGAAGTTTTAGCAAATAAAGTTCTGTGAACATTAAGTTCATTTAAGCCACATTTTCTAGAAAAACTGAGGCGCTAACCCACATTTTTGAGAAGTATGATTAAAACTGGCTTTTTTCTCTCTCAAACTATTCATTGATATGTACAAACAACTTTGGTTTTGGTCTCAATTGTAGCTTCTAAGAACTAAAGTCCTGTTCTGGCTTAATTACCAGCAAATATATCCTCCAATTTGCTATAAATATGTTTAATATCTCTTGTTACTGTTGGAACAGACGTTTACCCAACACTTTGACTGCATCACTTTAGTAGCTCTAATCCCACAGATATCAGACTTTAACCATAATTCTTTATCTATTTCCATTTTAGGAAGTTTACTTGACAGAATGTAGTTTTTTGTTGTCTTCATGGCAACATCTATGCAACCCAACATTGGTTTGAATGAACCACTACAATTTTAATCATCTTACCCAAAACCCCATTGATGGGGTTAAATGGAAATAGGGATCCAGTATTTAAAAGCAGTTGGTGTATATACGTCAGGTTTCTGGTTATTCTGTATGTACCGCTAATATCCACTTCTGAATGTAAGATCAAACACAGAAAAGAATAAAATAATGCTGTAGGAAAACTAATTTATTCCTCTATTTACTCAGTAGGAATTGACCTTGCTTTCATAAGCCTTTTCTAGGCCCATTCCAATGATCTAGAGACACAACTGTCCCTAGTTCCTGGGAAGGGTCCTGGAGGCCATTCATCAGGGCATCCTAGGAAATCAGTCAGTCCTGACTTCCTGTGGAAGGTCACGGCAGGTACTGCACACCATGCCCATCACTTGCATCTCCAGGTTTTGATCTGCATGGGATTCAGCTCACATGGCCAAGCCACTAACAACCATCTCAGCCACTAAATAAAAATAGCTTTATTACACAGTATCCATTCCCCCAGAGACCCAGCATTTAAGTACCACTCTATTCTTTCATTCTCTTGTGTTTGAGCTGGCCTTGACTCTGAGTGTTCTCATCCCTTCAGTTCATTCTAGGGCTTTCTGTTTCCCTGGTAATAGAATAGGGACCTGTCCACAGCTCCCACTAGCTATGACTCTTGCAGGGAAGATGCATGTTGCTGACCACACCCTAAGGGCTTCAAGGCTGCGAATGGTGCTTGGAATCCTCCTTTATCCTCAGGAACACCTTGTGATTGGTACTCTTTCACAGCCTCCATGTAAAGCACAGTACTATTAGATCTGTACTCTATTATATTTCAACTTGATATTTTTACTCAGGGAACTCCCCCTACTTCTCCAGATTTATAAAAACCTTAGTGCTTAGCCCTTAGCTTTCGACTGGGCTCCCCACAGCAGCTATGAATATGCTCCTGTCTACATCATTAACTGTAGAATTCAAATCCAACTGGCATTTCAAAAGGTTATTAGTGTATGTTTTTAATATAGAATAGTGACATTTGTTTTGGAGAATTGGTGCATAAAGATATGCGTAAAACATACCTTTATGATTGTCACACTGCCCCCCATACTTTTCCTCACTCCTTGCCTAATTCCCTTCTAAATAAGTACACTTGTTTCTTTGTCTTAGGTCACAAACATTGAATATTGACACAGTAAGTTTCTTTCATTTTCTCTTTTGATGAACCTGGTCCAATAGTTGGCTTAGCATAAGGAGTAGGCTTTCAGTAAATGTTTAAATAAATGAGTATTGCTAGTACTAGGGTATAAGGCAAACCTCTAGCCTCTCAGACACTCATAATTGAATGGAGGAAATTGACATTCACAAATGAAAAAGACCCCTGTCATACATATGTACTGGAGAAGTTGGAGAATGTAGGCACTTGATTGATGGTGGCTGCACACTGAATTTGAGATTAAAGACCAGTGTGGAAGTGGAAGTGCTCTGTGATGATACAAGGAAGCAGAGACGGAATGACGTCAGGATAGGGAAAGTGTATTTGAACATCATTAGCCTGCAGGCTGTCCTTGAACCTGGGAGAAAGTTCACCATTGAAAGGTGAAAACAGAGCAGATCATCTTGAAAAACGTACAGGGGATAATGTAAAAGGTTGTACAACTGAGGAACAGTTGTAGAAAATTCAGTGTCATGGCAAATACAATTGCTTCTGAGACAGTAAACAACAACAGTCCTTCCTACAAACAGTTGAAGCTTCTTTGAGATGTACTATTATCTTCGGGAAAAATCATAGATACATCTTGTACAAAATCACTTCAAAGTGAACATTTCCTCTTGACTTTGCATCTGATTTCAGTGCATGGAAACCAAAATGCTGCAGAAGAAATCCGGAATCCTGAGCAGTGATGGTGCTGATGAAAACACCCTTCCTCAGCTGGCAGCGAGCATCATTGCTCTGTCCCTCCAAGGTGTTTGTTTGGGACGAAGAAACTTGCCTTCCCCAGACTATTTTACTGAATATATTTTCCGTTTCTTGAATAGTACAAATAATCTCCACCTATCAGGTAAGAATATTTTGTTTTATGAATTTAACTTCCAAGTCACATCTACCACACAAATTGTGTCCAAAACAAAGGCTGAAATGTTTGATGACTGAATTTCCTCAGGTATGTTTTATATTTCATTTTATCTCAGCTTGTCATGAGAATGCTCAGGTGACTTTCAAGGATTATGTGCTATGACATCTGGGTACTGATGAGGCATGAACATGCACTTGTCCCATGAGAACTAACTCAACACTTTCCTGTTTGGCACATCATGCCAGGCCCAGAGGTGGTACTACACTGTACAGAATGATGAAATAATATTCAAAATTATTCAGGAGACTCAGAACTTTGCCTTTGAATCATTTAGTTTAGAATAAAAGTAACATGTGAATTATTTACTATTGCTGAATTTCTGACTCCTTCTTCTTAGAGCTCTGAGATGAAATGAGATGCTGGAAGGGAATCAGAATGTGTACTTTACATATTTCTTCAAACTAGTTAAGACAAAAAAACTTGAGGATTACATGACTTTTTTCAAATCTGCATTAAAGTGAACAAAGATAGATTTTTAAAAGTATCTCTTTACCAATACCACATTTAAAAAAATTAATGATTTCTTAATATTATAAAAATGTCTGATATTTACATTTTCCTAATTTAAAAACATTCATTATTTATTGACCTAGATTCTGAATAAGATTTATAAAATGCAAGTTGTTAGTAGATTTATTAAATTTCTTTTATACATGTCAGGCTTTTCCATCTTGTCTATTTTGTTGCATTCATAATTAGTTTACATCCATTTCCATTTGCTGCACTGCATGTATATTGATTAGCATGGCTGGGGGCTTGATTATTTTTCAGCTTAATTTTGGGAACACTATTTTATATTCAGTAACCTCCACCAGGAGGAATGTAACATTTGGATCTTTCTATTTTTCTCTCTTTTCCCTTCCTCCTTTTGAAAAGTTATAAGATATTGATGATCACTGCCTAGCTTGGATCTATTTTCTCTTCTTGCTGTATTTTTTGGTGTAATAATTCTATAATGGAAAATCTTTCATTTTACTGAGATTCTTAAAAAGAAACTATAAATTCTTAATACTTCACCAGTTTTCAACTTAGAAACAAGTTCCCTTGCATCTTTCAAAGGAAAACAATGGTATTTTTAAAAATATTATGATTTTGTATTTTTCAGTTTATCATTATTTTATTAGTTGGTACTTAGATTTATCCCTGTTTGATCAGTAGAATATTGTTCAAGTTGGCTTTAAGTCCTTCTGACAAAGTCTTTAAAATATTTTATACATCTCTTACTTTCTAAAATAACCTGATATTCTAGGTTTATCTTGCACATTTCTGCCTGAACCTGGAATCAATCATTTATTCAAATATATCAATCATCTATTTTTATACAATTAAATTAATCAAATTTTACTTTATTGCTTTTGAATTTGAGTTTCAGTTATAAAAATTTCACATGCTCTGTGGTAAGAAAAAAGCTACTCACATTTTCTTTTGATGCTTGTATCTTTACATTTCTGATCTACTTAGAATTATTTATGGTGTGTGTCATGAGGAATAAATCCAGTTTATTTTTCCTTTTGGTTATCCAATTTTATTTATATCATTATTTAAAATATAGTATTCCCTCCACTGATTTGAGATATTACTTTTATGCACTACAAAATATTTCTAAATGTTTTTGAGTCTCTTTGTGGGTTTCCTATTCCATTCTATTTGACAGCTTGTCTATTCATGCACCAGTGCCATACTGTTTTACTTTCAACAGCTTTGTAACTCTGAAATGTCTACTTGAGCTAGGCTTCCATTATGTGTACTTTTGAAGGTTTTTTTGACTTACTTGTTTTAATTGACCATCATCAAACTGTTAAGCTCCATATTAGCATTACCAAAAATAAAAATTAAGAAAAAGAACTATAAATTTACTTAGTGGGTAGTAGGTGTTGTAAATTTATATTCAGGAATGTAATGTTCTTCTATCTGATCATGTCTATATATATATATTTATGTTTGGGGTTGAATCCAAGATTTGTGTATATTACACAAGCACTCTGATTCAAAGATGCATTCCCAGTCCTTTAATTTTTTTTAAATTTCAAGACAGGGTCTTCCTAAGATTCCTAAACTAATCTTGAATTTGAGGTCCTTTCTCAGGCTCCTGAGTAACTGGGGTTTCAGGCCTGTACCACCACATCCGTTTACATGTATATTGTGTAATGTTTTATTAGTTTCCACACTTAGTAAAACTTTATGTTTAGATGTAAGCATCTACCTTTCTTTCTGCTTGTCTTAAATGAAGTCCTATTTCATTCTCTATTCTAACTGGTCATTATAAATATGAAAGCTACTGATTTTTATACATTCACTTTATACTCTGCTCCATGATGACATTTGATTCTTTATATTGATTTTTTTAGAAGCTTCAGGTATATAATTATATCATCACTAGATCGATATACTTTTGCCTTTTTCTTTCCAGTTTTAATATTTGCTTTCTCATTTACTTGCATTGCTTAATAATCCCAATATAATGTTAAATAGTGGTAGGTATATAACTCAGCTTTCTTGATATGTTTCTGACTTTGAAAAAAAGCCTGAAGTATTTTTTATTAAGTTTAAAGAAAAACAAGCAAAATATATTTATAGTCTTTGATATTAACCCACATTCTTATATTTCCAGTGTTGTTCATTTCTCCCAGCAGACTTGGCCAAAAGGGGAAAATTTCTCCCTATTTGGGTAATTTTTTTCAGCCTAAATAACTTCATATTGTAATTTTTGTAAAGCAGGTTGGCTAGCAATGAAATCTTTCCTTTGATGCAAAGGATTGTTTTGCTGAGTATAAAATTCCTCACTGACAATTTTTTGGTTTTTTTTTTTCTTTTTCTTTTCTTTTTTTTCTTGCTATTTTAATACACCTTTCCACTACCTTCTGGTTTGTATTATTTAGACAGCAAGTCAGCCATTAACTGGTCATGGTCCCCTATAGGTGACGAGTCATTTCTTTTTGTTGCTTTCCAGATTTCTTCTTTGTATTTGACTTTCACAATAATGTACCTTCTGTGTGTGAACTTTTATTGCATTTTTCCTATTAGTGTGATGAGCTTCTTAAACATGATGAAAAAGACTTTACATTAGACTTCAATAGTTATTAGCCATTATAGTCTCCAATTTTTTCTGATTTTTTCTCTGCCTCCTATCTCTGATTGTCAGTCAGTATATATCAATACATCTACTGTTGCTCCACAGGTCTCTGAGATGATATTGTCATCACCATCTTCCTCTAGACCCAGTTCTTCTCTTTATTCTTCAGGATGGATTATTTCTATTATCTTTATGTTCAGTAATTTTATTTTGCCTGATCAAACATGTTGTTGAATGTGTCTAGTGATTTTTTTTACTTTAGTAAGTTTTTCAACTCCAGAATATCTATTGGGAATTTCTTGTAATTTTTTAATTTAAAATTGTAGTCGATTTATTATTGTCATACTTCCCTTTACTTATTTAAAGTATGATTTCTTTTAGCCCCTTAGGCATGCTTATATAGCTGCTTTATAGACAATCTATTAAATCAAACATCTAGGAATGTTCAGAGATGTATTTTTTTGGCATTTCTTTTCCTGAATATGGGTCACACTTGCCCAGTTTTCTATAAGTCATATAACTTTTTCTGATAAACACTGATCATTTTTTAAAAACTATATATTTTGTAATATTTCCTATCAGTAAGGATAGTACCTAGAAAAATTTCAAAGATATTTTATTCACAGATAGTAAAATGGGTAGACTCATTGAAATTTACTATCATATTTAATTCGCCTCTGTGTTAATCAGATTTCAAAAGTCTGGAGTTACATTTCAATCTATAATTTTACAGCTATTACAATATCACAGTGGCATTAGAAAACAAGATCTAGTTTGTTTCTGTAATGTTAGTTTGCTTTCATTTATTTTCTCTTTTTTTGAATTATACTTAACAGGAAGACAATTTGATTGATCTATATTAAGATAATAGTCAATCTACTAACCTTGAAAATAATTTGATCTATGTAAAGATAATAGTCAGGTAATTAATTTCTTAAAATTAGGTCAGTTTCTTCTTTAATTTACCTTTGTATAGAATGGGAAAATTATTGATTCTATGGAAAGGATTCCCTTTGGTGGATTGCCCATTTTATTATCTTTATTCCCACCATATCACTAATGAAGATAACTTCATAAAAACTGGCTCAGCCCCAAAGTTTAACCAGGAACTTGTAAAAGAATCAATGTATACATATGGAATACCAATGACCGACCATTAGCTTTGTTCAGGTTGAAACTCTGAGTTTTCATTGTCTTGTAAAATATCTATGTTGTACACATGTAAAATTATGATTATTCTGAACTTGTCTATTCTATGTGACACCAGATTTTGTATGAAATTTCTAGAACTGGACCAGCTCCTCAATATTCTTTGGACCAAAAGCACCTGTAATAAAAAGGATGAAAACCATCAACCTCAAAGGAAACAAGACAACATAAAAACCCATGATTGGGACTACTCTAACCTTTCTATATCTATGGACGAAGAGTTAGATGATGGCCCAGTGTCCTGGGAGCAGGTATTTCCATTATTCATTTTATACCATCATTTGTTATTGTTGAAGGAAGACCTGTTGTGAAAGTTCTGCCAGAGCTGTAGAAAATGTAAGAAAATTTTCTGTTCTAGGATACTTCCTAGTTTTTCTTTTTCAATAAGTGGATCTCTGTAGACATAAAAATAAGGTCAAAGTATTTGGAAGAATGATATATTGCTCTGCTCTCCGTTGGGTCCCTATGAAATGCACAAACAAATTCAGAAAACATTATGAGCATTTAGTATGTATCAGTCCCCAAACGACATGAGAAATAATAGTGCTGAGCGAAAATAGGTCCTGTACTTAGGGAGTTTATAAGGCAGTGAAAGATATAGATATTACATAATAATCAAAATGATGAATGAACACTTCAAATTTAGGTTAGGTCAAGAAGTGATTACTTTGGCCTGCAAGCAACAGAAAAGTATTTGCATGGTAGATGGCACTAAGAAAGTTTTTGAAGAAAAATAATCTGTAAGCATATAAACGTAGCCAGACTTTTATTTCCTGAAATTATATCCCAAAGTGCATTCCCTGGTCTACCTCTTTGCTTTCTGAAAAAAAGTGCTACAGTCATAATAGTTGGGTAAAAACTAGGGGTGGACACTTCCCTGTGGCGTACTGAGAAGTTTGGAGGAAAGGTCTTACTAGTAAACAAATTTTTAAAGTTTTATTGAACCCATTATTTCTCAAACTTTGATTATAGAATCCTTCCCTACTCTATTTTTTTAAAAATCTTCAAAAATTAATGTTCCATGACACTGGCTTACATCTATGGAATACTTACTACAGTGGTAAGCACTGTATTGTTTAACCTACAAACTGTCTTATTAATTGTTAAAACAACTATAATAGGTTAGTTTGTATATAATACAGGTTAGATGTAGAGCTAGTAAATCCTTAAATTCACAGAAACTGAAGATATATGCATACATATGTTGTCTGATAGTGCATTTTGTGTTCTTCACAACCATATTAATTTTGGGAATTGTTGATTAGAATAAATTATATTTTTTGTTATTTGTATCTTCAATAAGTAATACTCCTATGGAACACAATCAGTACCTTAAGAAAGAAAAAGTCTTTACGTATTCCTAATAATGCTGAATGCTATGCCCACAAGTTACAAATGTATGATTAGGCAACCTATCTATCACCCATAGTTGCTATTATATAATTTTAAAGGTCAAATTCTCTTGCCTTCGCCATGTGTAAACTGTATCTTTGTAGATTCTTTCAAATGGATGCTTACTGCATACAGCTGAAGGTCATTAGTTGACTTCCAAACTTTCTTACATGTTTCTTCAGGGCCACCTCTCAGGAAAGGATTATGGAAACACAGTTTGCAAAAAAAGATAAAGGTTTTAAAAATATTTTTTAGCATTATTTACTTAAGGCATGTTGCGTAGTGTAGTGTGTGGAGTGTTTTAATGTTTGTCAGTGTTCATTAGTGTTACTGTGTTAGTGTTAGTGTTAGTGTTAGTGTTAGTGTTACTGAGAACTGAACTCAAGGCCATCTCCATATCTTTTTACTTCTTATTTTGAGACAGAGTCTCACTAAGTCAGTAAGTTGTTCAGTCTAGGCTGAAATTTTCAATCCTCCTGCCTCAGCCTCCTAGAGTGCTAGGATTAAGAACTTGTACCACTGTACCTGACAAAAGCGTGCATCTCTTAAGAAAATTAATAATCATGTCTGCTGACTGTAGAAAGTAAACAAAACAACCTCTTCTGTAATTATTCTGCTCTCTTCCATTATATGATTTTCTTTGTGATTCTTGTTGTGATCCTAATATGGGACACCGGATCTGGGGACCCTGCCTGTATTATTTAATCAATGCTTCTCCACATCTTGTCCCTGGACCAAAGCAACAGCATTAGCTGAGAACTTGCTAGACATGCAAATTCTCACATCCCACCCATGAATCTACTGAATCAGGAACCCTGGGAATGGAACCCAGCACTCTTTTTTTTTTCCTTATTATTAGTAATAGTAGTATTAGTATTAATTAGTATTATTTTGTGGTATAGAGGGGATGAATCAAGGGCCTCATGCTTGATAAATAAGTGTTCTACATTGATCCACATCCCAAGCCCTACACTTTGTCTTTAATGAATGCTCCAAATGTGTTCAAACTAAAGAATAAGAGTTAGAAATATAGAATATATCTGAAAACATCCATAGAATTCTGACATCAACTTAAATGTAAACATATACTGATATTTTCTGTAGAACAATAAAGATGTTTAAAAAGTTATTAGCAAAATCATCTAAATTTTCCTGCTATTCTCTTCTTTGTTAACATGTTTTGTGTTAAAAATTCATAGAACATATTGAATCGCCATTAAGACATGTGCTAGTGATTTCAGAAGAAATTTAAAAGCAGACCTGAGAAGCACAGGGAGAGCAAGCAAAGATCAAGGACACAAAAGCTTATAATAGAACAACCTTCTTCTAGGAGATGGTTTTCTAAAACTGGAAACTATTCAATTTCTTGATAGTGAACTGGGGAAAGATACATAACACTCTGTTCCTGTTTATCTCCCCAGTCTTTTATTTGCTAGTTATGCATTTTCTAATATGAGCATTTATTATGAAAGCTTCATCACTAAAAGTTTGTTATTAGTTTCCCTTTCTTCTTATTATTTTTAACAATGAAATAATTGGATTCCTTCAGTAACAAGTGAGCAAAAGAGAATGTTGTCTTTGGTATACATCATTTAAATATAGGGAAAATTATCACAATCTAACTTTCTGTTGATGCTTTTCAGAGTAGAAAGCTTTGAGATTTCTTGCCCATTCCCTTTCTGAGAAATGTCTTCCTCACTCCTTCAACGTGGGCAGAACTGATCCAACCAGGCAGATGCCTGAGTCAACAGAACCATGACTTTGCAGAATCAATCAGATCTCTCTCAGGATTTGCAGGATCAACCAGTCTTGGGACCTTGAATCAAAGGTCGTTTCAGAGTTGAGATTTCTATGGCCATGTGTGTACCAAGTGAAAGGCATAAACTGCAAAAGGAAATTGTTATATACAGAAGAAAGCAGAAAAGAAAAAATACTTGGAGTGCAAGCGCGCACATCTTTGCTCCTGGTTGTCCAGTTTCAACTCACAGTTTCTTCTGAGGTCCAGCTTTTCCTTTTGTCCTTCATTTCTATTCTGTGACCCTCTGACCTCTTCCATTGCAGGCTCCTCTTGTTTTTCTGCATCAAGGGGTTTCTGTTCCATGTAACCAAACATTTCCCATTAAAAATAAAAAAAAAATCTCACCTGTAAAATCATTACCATAGGTTTTTAGGTGGGAGATGGAACCAGCAAATATTCTGATTATCAATCCACATTTGTTAAAAATCCTTGCATTCTACAGCACAGAATGTCTGGTCAGCCTTATAAATCTGATTCTTTTTTTACTCAAAATATTTATTGATTGCAACTAAAGATTACAAAGACATTGACTGGGGGATTTTATTTTAGTTGAAATTGTTCATTGGTGCTAGAGAACCTGGCTGGTATTCTTATCATTGTAATCTTTGATGCATAAGATGTCAGCCTTCACCTCTGTGATGGACAAACACTTTATGGCAGTTTTTAGAGACTTACTGAATTTGTTATTTACTTACAATCCCACCTTTTATAAGTATGCCTATATAATGTGGAAAATACGAAAATCTAGACAAAAATAGGTGAAGTTAATAGAAAATAACAAAGATTTCCACTGTTTTCATGGAGCAGGCATATCAGTTCACAGAGGGCCATAACATCCAGTATTTGTACAGCAGCTAGTTAACTTAGCATTCACTTTTGATAAATTTAACCTTCTTTTACTTTTGAAAATGTGTTGCCGATGCAGATTCATTAAATCAGAGAGTATTAAACACAATGACCTCATCATCACTGAGTTCAGGCTTAACATGTAAAGTCTTAGCTTTTTTGAAAAACAACAAACCAGAAAAACGTCAAAGCATCCTTAGGTGATTTGTTAGAACACTAGGCAACCCATTGTGAAATATAGTGTGTCTCTTCAGTAGAGAAAAAAAAAGTGCAAAAAATATTAAATAATGCTTAGAATGAAGGTGAGATACTGCAGACTTTGATCGGAGACTTAAAATAATCTTTGAAAATTAACAAAAGGTAGCAGAAAAATGTGTAACAGTGTCCTCATAAACCAGTGGTAGTCATTTGATCCACTTCTGGGTCCTTAAGATTGGCACCCATGGTTTAGTCTGGAGTTAGTAACAATGTGTGTTTTCTCCATACAGACTTGCTTCTCTGCTAAGCAGCTGGGAGAGATATTTTTACAAGATAGCCTTTCACCCATTTCTAAGGAGGACTTCAAGCACCTAAGTCCAGGGATCATCCAGCAGCTCCTCAGCTGCTCTTGCCAGCCGTCCATGGACCAACAAGCACTACCACCTACCACTCTAGAGAGTGAGTTCTGCTTCTTCGTTAGAAAGCTAATGTTGGCCATCTAGGTGATGAGACTAGTGAGAGCAGAATGCATACTCTGTACTAGGTGCCGCTCAAAGCATTGTTCATTTACCAACACGTATCATCCTCCCAGTGATTCAAGGAGGCTCAAGGGATTACTTCCGTTATCCTCATTTTGCAAATGAGGGAACCAAGACATGGAAATGTTACATGCATTGCTCAAGGACATACAACCAGTAAGCTATAAAGTTGGAATTCATACTCAAGTAAGCTGGTCCCAGAGTTCTTATTTCTAGCTCTGACACTATTCTTCTTTTCAATAAGCATGTTAGATTTTGTGTGTAAGTGGTAAAAATTGATTTTGTTCCCTAGAGCTGACTCATTCACACACCACTTACCAAACCCATGTTAAGAAGTGGTATGGTGGAAAAGAAAAAGCGTTAGTATTAGAAGCCGGATGCAGAGCCGAGTCTTGTCTCATCCACAGCTAACCTGTGATTTTAAGTGATTTCTACTTTCCCAACCCATTTTTCTATGCATGATGGGAAAATAGTGATAGACTAAATCCAACTTTTTGCACGTCACAGAACACATAAAAAATGAAGGCACATCGGGCTGGATTAGGGTATCAGCCTCACAGGCATGTCTGGCAGCTCCAGGAAGTGAAGAGAGGATACTGACACTTACTGTGTCCCACTGAGTCACTGTAGGTGAACTCTCTAGTGACTTTGCAAAGCATCTGTGAAATTCAGATGCTAATAGGAATACAAATGTATGTTTAGTAAATTTAAAACGTTGTATGTTTAAGTTTCCTCCAAAAATAATAGCTATGGCACTGAATAAATTGTGACAATGAATTCACAAAACCCATAAGTGTTACTTTTCATCTGAAGACCTCAAAATATTTTCAGAGCTGCTTTCTTTTCCTTTGAGTTAGTCTACAATACCATCTTTGTTGAATTGTTTAGCTACCCACCTTTAAGTCACAAAAGACTTTATATCAGCAAGTGGCTTACTGGAAGATTTTATGTGAACCAAAACATGCCTGGGCTAACTACCGAAGAGTCCACACTCACTGGGAAGGAAAAAAAACCTTCATCAAAAGTGGCCAGCTAAATAAGTCAGCACCTGGTGGTCAGGGATGCCCACAAATGAGTGAGAACAGAACTGTGGCACACTGAGCATCAAAGGGTAGGTTTGTATTATCTGGTGCCCTGAGATATACAGGCCACATGGGAAGGATTTTTGAAGATCTGTGAAGAAAGTTTTATACCATTTCTAATAAAGCTGTGAGACATTTCTAGGGATTAGTTTTCTTGAAAAAAGTAACAAAGCACACTGAAGAATCTAGAAAATCATCACTCTTCTCAGATCTAAAATTTCATATTATACAACTGAAGAGAAGGGCTTCTATTAGCTTTTGGAAATTATAGAAATGGAAGATGTTGCACTGAACAGAGGCAACACAGGGAGGCTTATTAAGGGAATATTGTTCAGTATGCTATAATTCAACCTCAAAGTGTCACATTCAGCTGAGTTTCCAGGAAAGATGACTGTGCCAACATGTAATCAAATTTTAGCCTTATTTAAATAGCTCCTCAGAAATGACTAAGAGTTTAATAGGTAGGTCAAGTTTGATTGCAATGATGGGAAATGCTTAGGCGAATCTATTTGCAAATCATCTAACCCCAATCAAGACTTATGACATCTTTTCTGGGATCTGGGGTAAATTAGCAGAGTCCTTTGACTGCAAATGTCAGGAACTGATGAGTTTTCATGTTATCCCTCCTACATGAGAGTAGACAAAACTTGACTCAAAGAGGACCTAAAAAGATTCTAAAAGATTTTCAGTATTATATTGTATCCCCTGCCAAGACCAGGGGGAGAAAAGTAGAAACATAGAAGACTTTGAAACGTTGCCTTTTGACTGAGAAACATCATACTCTAATTTGTCCTCATGAATTCTTGACATTTTGTGATATTTTATAGGAACCAAAAGATATGACAGTTTTTCATTTTGTTAGACATCTAGGTACCAATGTTAAAATTCAATTATCTGTATGTTTTAGGTAAGAGGAATGACATCTCCCACATAGAGTCTCCCAGGGAAGAAATGGGATATGAAACTGAGTTGAAAATCTTTAGAGATGATTTTGTAACATGAGGGGTTATTTTTACTAAATTGGAATGAAATAAAACCTATGTTCTTTGACCATTCCAACAATTCACTTAAATTGTGTTAAACACGACATAAAATTTTCCTTTTTAACTTTTTGGGGTAGCACTGGGGATTGAACCATCCATGTCTCTGTCAACTATTATTGTCAGGCAGATGGTTATGGCATGTCCACTCGCTGATACATGAATAGGCATCCACCAACTCTGTGTTTTGTGATTTGCTTTTACTTAGAATATGGCTACAGCACAGGAGCTGTGATGCTTCTCACACTGGGCTCCATGCTCGGGACGGCGTTGGTCCTTTTCCACAGCTGTGAGGAGAACTATAGTCTCATCCTACAGCTCTTCGTGGGCTTGGCTGTGGGGACCCTCTCAGGGGATGCTCTGCTCCACCTCATCCCTCAGGTAATCTGTTTCTTTGCAGTTCAGATGCAGTATTTCTAATTTCTCTTCTATTTATTTGTTTAAGTTTTAAGGTAATCTATGCAGATATTAAGAAAATATTTAAAAGCACTCTATGCTTCTATAAAAAAGTTTCATAACAAAAGAATTAAAGAATGACAAGTTAATAAACTTTGTACCATAACCTTTATAGAGCGGCCAAAATGTCACTCAGAGTACAACTACTGTGCAAATCACTGTGGAGAGTCCTCAAAAAACTAAAAGTAGAAATTTCATTGGACCCAAGTATCCCCCAAGACTCTAGCTCAAAGAGTTAAAATCATCATAGTATAGTGACCCACACTTAACCTTGATTTTTGTTTGGCTTGTTTTGTTTTGGGTATTGGGAATCAAACTCAGGGCCTCAGGACTTGTGCTTGTCTGGCAGGTACTTATGCCACTGAGCTATATCCTTGGCCCAGATAGCCCTGCTTTTAGGACCACAGTTTGCAATAGGTAGATCTTAAAAACATCCAAGATCAGCACATGTCCATCAACAGATGAATGGATAAGGAAAATGTGATATTTATGCACAATAGAGTACGGCTCTGCTGTGAAGAAAGATAAATTTGATGTACTTTTAGGTAAATGGATACTACTTGAGAAAATAATGTGAAGTGAAATAAACCAGACACACAAACTTAGATATCATATGATTTCTGTTACATGAAAAGAGTCACAATATTTCCAGTTTCTCTTTACTGGAGTTATCTGTGTGAACTTTTATGGGGATTTCAATAATAAATACAGTGGCCAACATTTTCTTTGGAAGGAAATAGTATTTGCCCTAAGTTTCCCTATACTTTCAGAAAGGAAAAGATGACAAGACATTAATTTCACCAGCTGCAATTCTTATGTGTGAAATTTGTAATAGAAAAGTGATCATATCGAGATTCCTATTAAGAAAGTTTCAAAACCAGACACTACACCAGTTTGCTGCAGTGAGCTTCCCTCACTCCCCATCTCAGATCCTCTTTCTGCTTCTGGTAGTGCTATCTCTCCAGCTCTTTGCAATCTAGATTTGTGTTTGGATTCAGCAGATGAGGAGCAAAAAGGAGAATCCCAGGGTAGAAACAAAGAGAGAAAGCGGTACACCTTTTCAATTGCCTCCCCCCTCCCCACCCCTCTCATCTGCTCTGGAATCAGCTCCATAGATATCACACTGCATCTAGATGTCCCTTCATGGCCCCATCTCTCACTGAGCTTCCACATCATCTCTTCCCATTGCCCTCTCAGCCCTAAGGGTGGTAACGGTCCCAGAGCTTGCTGGTCTGGGGATGCTTCATTATCCCTTGTTCATACCCAACCCTGCCCACCCCTGAGGCATTGTACCATCATTAATATCTCTTCATTTGAGCTGCTGGGGTACATCTATCTTTCTTGCCTGAATAATAGTGCCTGGATTTCTCATGAAGAAAATATAAGTACCAGGAAGTTGGTCCTATGTTATAGTCTTCTTAGACTTTTTTTTTACCAGAAGTGAGAAATTAAAGACCTGAGGTGCTGAAAGTTCAGGTGAAAGGTTTTAAAGAGGAAGTTATCTCTTCCCTCTAAAATCTCTTCATATAGATGATGACAATAGACCATCATCCCTCCCCTTGCTACGCCTGATTTGTTAAAATTTTCCACGTCCCTCTGGCAGTTTTCTACAGGATCATTCTTGTTGCTGAGAGGCTCAATGATTATTTGATGTTTGGAAAATCGCAGAGTGAGCATTGAAGAAATAAAACAAACCATTATTAGTTTTAATTCCCCTTGTAATCTAATTTTCTGGAAATATTTCAGGGCTTATTATTGGCTTGAGGCAGTGGCTGAGGCCTTTTTCTAGGTCACCGCAGTGGTTGCAGTGTTGTTTATTACCAGGGATCCTGGGAAACAGCTAAAGGATCTGAAAGCTTCCTGGTCTCTCTCCAAGAGGAACACAGTTAGGGGCAGCCAGAGTAAATTTGGAGGTGGGTAAGAAATGGCACAAGAGTGAACCTTAAAAGATTATCTTGGTTTCATGAGATTTTGAAGACAAGGTTTTGGCTTGAGAAGAGAGATGAGGACAAGAGTTTTTGGAAAGAGGAAGAAAGATGTGGTACAAATGTGGTGGAAAGCTAGAAAAATCAGTGGTTCCTGAATATGATCCAAGTTTTCAAAATTTTTGCAGAAATGAGAAAAATACCACTGTTGTGATTTCCCCATTTCTTTTTTTCTTTTGCTTGCTTTATTCAATTTAAACATCTACATTCTACCATGAGATTTTGGGAGGTTTTTTTTGTTTGTTTTATTTTGTGAAAAAAAAATTGCCAATCACAAGTATTTGATGTGTATTTGTTAACATTCATGTGAAAAGAAAAAATTGACCAATACATATTTGATTTTAGTTATGCCTAGATATGTGCTAAAAGTATATGTATAGAAACACATATGTATATGCATGTATACACACTTTTTTATATGTTCTCATAGTTAAATAATTTCTAGACTACTTGTAATACCAAATTACAACATAAATGCTGTGTAAATAGTTGTTTTTCTGCATTATTTAGGAAGCAGTGACAAGAAAAGAATTTGTACTTGCTCAGTAGAGATGCATTTTTCCCCCTGAATGTTTTCAATCTACAGTTGGTAGAATCTGTGGATGCTGAATCCATAGACATAGAGAGCTGTGTGTTTCTATACATGTAAATATCTACATACATAGATGTGAACATATATCCATCAATCTATACATATAGAATTTAGTTTTTCTTTTTTGAATTTAGTCATCAGAAACATCCTAAATCTGGAAGCCACTTGACCTATTTTGCAAATTTTCTTCTCTTGGGGAAGGGATAATACAAAATGATTCATCCCTAATAAGAATTCATGAAGCTGGGTACATTGACACATGCCTATAATACCAGCTACTCAGGAGTCTGAGGCAGGATGATTGCAAATTTGAGACCAATCTGGGCAATTTAGCAATTCTTATCTCAAAATAAAATTTTAAAAAAGGAGCAGATTGAGAAGTTACTCAGCCTTCACTGGGTTCAATGGCTAAATCCTAAGAATTAACAAAAGAAAATCACAAAGTCACTTGAAGTGTTGAGTCAATCATTCATGAGTTGCATTCACTAGAAAGTCTTCCAGGTGGATTTCTTACTTATTTGAATATTTATTAAAATTTTACTTTAACTGCAGTGGAGAATGGGAAGAAACTTAATGAACTATGTACTTATATGTGTCCTGGATGTAACATATATCAATATCTTTTAAGCATTGCTCTGTAAACAGATACAGCTAGAACTTCTGGAAAAAAACCAAATTTAATCAAAAAACTCACAATGAATGCAAATTTAGGCCACTGGCTGAAATAGAGTTTAGGTGTTCCTGTTCATTAGCACAAGTTCTCCTCCAAAGCTCTCCTTTATTTTCTGTAGTACACATTTTACTTGAGCTTGATTAAATGTGTAGTAGAAGTATTCACATATTCAAAAGCAAACTGGGTTTTTTATGATCTCAGTTTTCATGGAATTCCCTCTCCTTAAACTCTATTCAACTACTGCTTCGACCGTTTGATATTTAAGTCATGAAAAGTTATATTTCCTTCTTTCCTTTTTCTATCTTTTTTTTAAGGTTCTTGATTTACACAGGCAGGAATCACTAGAGTTTGGACATTTCCATGAAAGCAAAGGTCATATCTGGAAGCTGTTGGGATTAATTGGAGGCATTCATGGATTTTTCTTGATAGAAAAATGTTTTATTCTTCTTGTATCACCAAATGCCAAGGTATATTTTAAGTTTTATTTATCTTTTGCTTCAAGTTTTCATACCATTAATTTTTTTTCAAGGATGCTTCTTCAGAAGTAATGACATCTTCATGAAATAGTCTGTGTAACGGATGGTACTTTAACTTAAAAGAATATATAAATCAGCCTGAATAGCAAGTTCCTCATTGTTGTAGTTATTTTTTTAACATCTGTTGCTTTCCAGTTAATGTATTTGTTACATAATCTTCTGTTTAATCTTCAGGGTTGGTTCAAAACAAGAGACCATTTCATGTCTGCGGAAAGAGACCCAAAGTCTTTAACTACTGATTAATATTTTGGATGTCTTTTCTAAACAAAAACAAACAAACAAGAAAGTGAAAATTTTGAAACTTCATAAAAATCATTTGTTATACTCTACCTTAAGGGCATTTAAAATTATAAACACAGGAAGCTCAGAATTGTGATTCATACCAAATCTCTTTCTAGTTTGAATAATTTCTTTTACTGTGGCTGTATTTGATCAACTTCTCTCTGTTTGATGAAATGTATAAAGCAATGTGTTTTATTCATGAATTATATTTCCTTTGTTTATATATAAGAAAAGTTGATTATTTTCTTGGTAGGATGATTAAAAAATAAATGCTTGTAAAAAACTCCAAGAGAAAAAGTAATACTTCTTTACAGAGATGTGGGACCCTGCTGTTTTTGTGGCTTTCTCCCCACCCTCTAGCCCTTTACCTGTTCACTTAATTAACTATTAATGTAGATATGATGCCTATGCCCCAGGAAAATATTAATGACTTTAAATATTATTTATAAATTTGTTTCAAACTCTTATTTTATGAATCACAAAATAAAATGCATTTAATGTTGCATTAAAGAAGGACAGATAGCTGTGTGATAAAATATAGTAGTTTTTTATTATAGAATCCAGAATGTTGGTATCTGAGTATCACATTACAATTTTTTCAACATTTCTGTAAGTTTGAAACTTTCAAAAATAAGTAAATATGAAAGTTTCAAATAGATTTTAAATCAACTCTTGTAAAAATGTTCTCTCTTAATACAGTAGGACTTTTCTTTGGCCTAGGGCTCAAGCTAGGATGGTACAATAATTTGGAAATTGGAGATACAAGTTTCAGTCACACCATCTACCCTAAATGTTTAGGAAATTAACTTCCTTAAAAAAGAGTTTGAATCCCAAGAAGCATTAAAAAGCAATAATAGATCCCCACTTATATTTAATAAATGAGCTTTTGAGGGACAGGAAAACTAAAGTATAATATTAACATAACGATCTATAGCTAATAGATATTTAACCAAGATGGAAATGTGTGAAAGAAATTCTGAATATTTCAAAATGCAGTTTGTTCCATTGACCCTTGAACTTTGCTAGGAACTGAAAAGTGAGTTTTAAAGAGCATAATTTCAAGACTTACATTATTGCATGAAATAAAAGAAATACAAATGTTTGTAAGTACAGTACTTTAATTGGTGAATATATTTCTTAAGATAGTATTTACACTACTAAAACTACAATACAGCATTTTGATAGCTCAGTCACTATTTAAAATTAAATTTGTATAAATATAAAATTTAAATGTATGAGAAAGACAATATGAAAACTGCTCTTCAGGGCTCTTTTAAGGGCATAGGATAAAGCTCAGAGGCACAAGCACATGCCTGGCATGCATGAGGGCATGAGTTTGATCCTCAGTACCAAAAAGGAAAAAAAAGCTAAAAAGAAAAAAATTAAGGCTCTTTTAATTATAAAGAGGATGGTTGAAGTTAAAGTATCCAGAGCATGTGTATTTTAGGGCAGAATTGTGCTTCTGTAAGATGAGACATCTCAGCAAACACTCATCATGATGAAGTTTCCCCTGTGCAGTACTATTTGTGTGCCACCCAACGCTTTGGCCCATAAACAAAATGTTCAGTAGAACCATGGAATTGACCAAGTCTGTCTCTGAGTCTTTCTGGCGTCCACACTAATTTTAAACCATCCTCCTGCAGCAGGGCCTGTCACTGATTAATGGGCATGTGGGACATCCCCACCATCCTGCACTTAACCCTGAATTAGATGACCAGTCAGGCAGAGGCAAGTCTGCTTCAACTATCCAGCTGGTAAGTTATGGCTCTGAGGCATTTAATTAATTTGATTTCTTTCTTTCTTTTTTGGTACTGGGGATCAAACTCACAACCATGTCACTGAGCTATATCCCCAGCCCAGATTTGATTACTTTCTTTCCTTTATTTTTCAATGAATAGGTGGAAAATTGGTGTGGATAGAGTAGAATCCATTCTTGACCTAGCTATTCTTGGCCATAATGAACACTGGATTCTTGGCCAGTCACCCAGAAGCTGTTTAAAGAGCACAGAACACCACTTTGAAACATGACAGATTAGTGGAATGATCAATTTGCATCGTTTTGTTTACAGTTTTCATGAAACAGCTGAGCTTTACATATCCTAGTCTGTATAATTTTAACCATTCCTAGGTTGATGCAAATAAATGTTGAACAGGGATTAATCCCTAATTATTCTACTACTGACTGGGATGCTCATTTCACAATGCAGAAGAGATTTGATTCTGTCCAATGAGTCATTTGATAGTAGATGCTTTTGATTCTACTGAATCTTTTTTACAATATTTTGTCTGTAGTCTCAAAATTGGTTGGATTGTTTAAAAAATAAATACTTGTTAAGACTCTGATATAATTCCAATTAGGCTCAAAATAATATTCCCATTCTATCCAATAAAACAAGGATAGGGACAGGACAAATATGGAAGCAATAAATAATTGTAAATGTGGCTCTTGTAACTAAGGCTTTCATATAGGAAGTTTGCAGTACAAGGATAGATTTCTGAGAGACACTACTGAGCTCATTGTGAGACATTAAGTTAGCAAAGTAAAAGTGTGCCAATGGGTTGTACATATAATGCTAACTCAGACACAGGAACACAAAAATACTCCTTTAAATAATTTTTGAAATCTTTATTATTTATAACAAATAATTGCTTTCAAATAATTGCTCAGATATTTTAAATGTGGTTTGAAACAAGGTAACATCAGGCTACGATTCCTTTTAAAATCACTTTATGGTGGGTTTCATTACTTTTGTCTGAATGGAGAATCCACAGCTACAAGATGCACATAAGCAAGTGTCTGCTGCGAACTTAGTGAATTTTAAACTATTTGAACATTCCAGGTCACTGGTACTATATATTAACCATTTATTTCAGTATGTAAGCTGCAAGATCAACCTGCAGCTTGAAATAGAAATCATATGAACTTGCAAGATTGTGTGATGGGCTCAGTTTCCCATTTTTTCCAGGAAAGTATAGATTGAAGGAAGAAGACTCATAATTCTTCTTGGTTAACAAGGAAACTTGAATGTTTGTTTGTAGTTTCCTTTACATAATATGAAATACATAGCCATTTTGGGGGGGGAAGTGTTCTTTTATTAAACATTTGAAATCCTGTCTGTTAGTAGAATCATAAAACATTTTAATTATAATCAGATTTTTGATATAACATAAAATGATCACATTGGGTATTCTGTTTTGTTTTGTTTTGTTTTTGGATCCACCCAATTTCAGGAAAGAGGCTTGAAACTCTCTAAGTCTCTGCCATGGGTCCAACTCTATTTCTTCTTCCTCCTTCCCCAAAAGCAGGATATCTTTTGAATGGATGCTGTTATGTGTGAGCATTGCTTTCTCTGTTTTACACAAAAAAAGATGCTTTTCTCACATTAAATTTGTGTCAGAATTTCCACAACTTTGAGCGAGAGAATATGAATATCCTTTTAAAAGTACGTTTAACACTACGTGAAGATGATTGTTTTCACAATGGATTAAAGATGCTAAGCATACAGAGTGTCATCCAGAAACTGAGCTACAACAGTCCGTGAAGCAAAAGCATGTACTCATAAATTCTACCACAGAAGGAAATTTTAAAAATCCCCCTCTCTTTCATATTAAAGGGTGAAAAATTTAATAAATATATTGCATTTGTCTTTTGTAAGTCCATTGATCTACTTTCTATATTGTCAAGATTCTTTCACTGACTGGAAAAGCAGTAAAAGAGAAAAATGATGCCATAAATGAAATGATGTATTACCTTTGCATGGGTCTCTTCTCCATCCAGAATACCCTATGAATTTATGAACTGAAAAGTGAATCTTAGATTACAGCCCACCATCTAGGAAATGGGCCAAATTAGATAAAAGTTTTTTTTCCTACAGCTTTTGCATTTCATAAGCACTAATGTAATTTCTGTCTGGACTACAGACTGCTTCCCTAGCCTTCAGCTTTCTGTGGAAGATATTGATCTAAGCAAGCATGTTATATTCAGCTAAATTTAGTACTGTAAAAAGTATGCTCTATTCACATACTTTCAGTTTAACATGTGATTTGTCTTAAAAACTTAGTTATAAACATACAGCTAGTATAGTAAAAGATTTTTGTTTTTTAAAATTAACATAGCTCTTAAGATGTTTCATTTTTCAATTCAATGTGACTGTTATTTATCTTTAATCAGTTATTTTTAAATTTAAAATAGAAAGGCCCAGAAGATTCACAAGCAGCTGAAATTTCTGTAGCCAGTATGACAACCTCCAATAGAAAATGTGAGTACCAATTTTTAAAAGCCATACTTTAAGTATAGTACGTGCCACAAAAAGTATTTTTAAAATAAATATGTCAAAATTATACAGATTTTATATTGGTATATATTTTATTTAAAAACCTGCAAAAAATCTTTAATTAAGGTCTATCAGTCTGTTTTCCCCAATCATTTAAGACCTTTTTCCTGAAATCTGCAACTAATCGGCTCCCTAAATTTAAGAATTTAATATTTAATCTGCATGTTTAGTGTATATATATATATATATATATATATATATACACATTAGTTTATCAGGGCTCGGCTCTAATTAATCATTCATATATGATGTTTGAAATTTTTAACTCACCATGAAATATGGTGACATCATTGGCTTTTCAACTTTTATCATAAATAACTTAAAATTGAGCATAAATGTCTATCTGACTATTGTGTCACTGAGACAGTAGAGTTCAAATCAAACTATCCCATTTGTCACATTTTATTCTGTAACTCATTTGTTTCTCTTATTTTCTATCAATCTTTTTTCTATGAATTTTCACTATTTCTGAATTTAATTTACCAATTTTAGATAGGATGTATTTTCTGCTTACATTTCTAAATAATTCTTTGAAGTTTTTTGCTTTGATTTGGTTTGGTTTTCATCAGTTACTCTTAGATATTTCCCCCATTTTTTCTCATTTATATTCCTCTATTGTGACACATACATCTTCATATTTTAATGTTAACTCAGTTATGATTAGTTATTCCTACTCTGTCATAACCAGCTATTAACCGCCATGAACTAAACATTTTTATACAATAGGCATAGTGTTAAACACTTGTAGTCTCTCAATTGAATTCCCCTACAATTTAAGAAAGCAAGAATAAATATCCAAATTATACAAACAAAGGAATCAATTTTTTGATTAAGCCATTGCTCAGGATCACATAGTTAATAAGCCCCAGCCTTGAAGAGCCAAAGAAGCGTTAATAGACCAACAATTTATTTATAGTCATTAATTCATCATGCATTCATGAATTCTTTCACTTTTTTATACTATCAAGGAATGTTTGAATACAGTTAGTGTTTTGGGTACCACATATACAGGCTTAAATGAGAATTTTCTTTATCCATAATCTGCCATGTAGTTTGGGATATAAATATTCAGAAGAGCAAACACTTTTATTGTTCATGATGACTATTTGAATTGTTTTAGTTTTACTAACTCATTTATTTGATTCAAAACATGCAATTACATACTTGTTGTGCTTGCAGGACATTGTTGGTGGTAATTTTCCTTTTAAATTTTTAATCCTGGGATTAATGGAGAAGGCTTGGGATGTAGTATATCTACAATGAACTTTTTTTTAAGAAAGGAAAGGTAGACAAAGATATGGCAGGTCAAATTAGGAGCGAGTAATGGAAACTAGACCAGAAAGTAACAATCATCCTACACAAGTATTTTGTGGCCTTCATATCTTCCCATTACAGATATCAAACTTAGCATAGGGAAAGAACAGTGAACAAATCCAAATTAGAGCATGTAACTGCCCCTTTGCCAGGAAAATACTAAATTAGCTTCAACTATTTGATGACTTGTCTCATATTATCTCATTGGTAGAGCTCAGCGTGAGTTTCAAAAGATGTGAAAATCCTTTCTACAGCCTGACCTGATTTAAGTAAACAAAAAGCCAAGTCATATTAGTTCTAACACATATTTCAACATGGAAAACCTTGGATAGTTCAGAAATGTGGAGCTTAATACGGCTGCCAGGTATATGGGCAAAGGTAAAATATCATAGACATTTCTGTAATGAGTACATTAAATTACCAGTGGATACCTATCTTCGCTAAATAATGTATACCTTAAAGAATACCCACAATGTCTTCTTTGTGGCCTATGTGCAAATGTCTCATGGCTTGTCATGCATCCATAATCTGAAATTTAGAAACCCATAATGAGAGATAATAAGATAACAGAAGCAAAATAGACCATATGTTTCCTAGTAGACATATTCTGTAAAAATCTCCCATTTGAATACATTCTGTTCATATCGAAGCTGTGTGTAGGCACGTAGAAATCACTTTATTTGCATGCTATAGTAATATCCAACATTTTACTTTAAATTAAAATAATTTTTGATTTCAGAATGAAAGCTTTATTTCTAAAAATGAGAGCTTTAGGCTATGCCAGTGTAAACTCCCTAAATTTAAGAATTTAATATTTAATCTGCATGTTTAGGTCTATTTCTGAAATCCGCCTATTTTTAACAAAGGATAAAATGAGTTAGTAAAACTGTAGGACTGTTAGTCCTATAGTAATATTTTATAAATATATATGATTTTTCCAGGTCAAATGCACAGGCCACCTTTGTAACACAGTCAGTGCAGCTGTCTCCTGGCTGAACATCTGGTCTCTAACCTGATGTTATTTTATTAAGTGAGATATGCAAGTGGGACATTCCCCATATGAAATAGCTTGCCACATCATAGTGTGGTTGCCCTCAGTCTTAGCACATGTGTGGGTTAGAACCCAGAAAGCAACCTCTTTCCACTTGTACTGAATACAATTATTAGAACAATGTGTTCAGTTCTAACAGTACTAACAGCTACTCCTTTCCTCTATTTCACAATATATTTTCAGCTGAATAACTAACGGAGGTTTAGAATACGCTCCTTGGCTAATGACTGTTCTTACCAAATGGTATTCCTGGGCAACTTACTGTCAGAACAAATGTTATCCTCAAAATACTTTCTGTGTTTGTGAGTCGTTCAACTCTGAGTTATAACATGCAACTTGAGTTTTTAAAATCAGAAATTCTGTCCACTAAAAACTGGAACTCATTTGTGATCAAAACTATTTCATCAACTCTCTCCTAATCAGATAATGGGTATTAGGCAATAGAATCCCATGAAAACTGAAGCTTTGTTTTTATTTTGTTCAACATCTAACTGATCTAGTACTGAAAGATATTTTTCAGAAAGAGAAGTACACTGAGTAATTGTTCCACAGCTAATGGAAAGCGGGGTGAAGTGCTGTTCATGGTTCTATTGTGGTCACCATTGGGAAACGAATGAGGCCCTTTAGGAGGCTCATCAACACCAATCTCCAAAAGCAAGACATTTGCACAGTGACAGAAAGCAGAGCGCAGCAGATGGACATGAGACAGTTAGACTCAGAGGAAGAATTTTGGAAAATCAGCTCCATTTTAATGACAATTCTGTAGCCCTACTTCCTGAAACCATCTCATTAATAGGATAAATTTCAGCATAAGCAATATGGAGTGTATGGGGGTGGGGCATAAGCATTCCAAACATAGCAAAGTTCTTAAATTATTTTAAATGCACCTCAAAAGACACAACTGGCAAAGTAGCAGAAGTATTCTGAAACGTAGTATTCTTTTTATTTTCAGCTTTTAGCATAGCTAGACAAGGTAATAAAATAATGAATGTAAATGCACAATTAATTTCATGATTGTTTTAGCCTGTAAGAAAACAGTCACTATCTTTTTAAGCACATTGGTTACCATACTTGCATCTCTAGTCCTGATTTATTTTGAAAGCTTAAAGTGATGTGATTTAATTACATGCAATATAAGGATATGAAGGGTAGGTGTTTGGAAGATCCTATGAAATATGTAGCACTTTGCTAATGCTTCGTATACCTTTTTGGTTCCTTAGGCAAAACCATTAGCTTATTAGCAGTAATGATACTGGTTGGGGACAGCCTGCATAATTTTGCAGATGGCCTAGTGTTGGGAGCAGCCTTCTCATCCTCATCTGAATCAGGAGTGACCACAACAATTGCTATCTTGTGTCATGAAATTCCACATGAAATGGGTAAGTTGGACAATAGAATCAAAAATTTTCCTGCTGTTTCAGAAAGTCATAGTACATTCATTACAGCTATGATTTACTTGGATTATCTTGCCAACATGACTGAAAGATGAATGCTTTCCATTTACAATTTATTTAAACCGTAAGAGTAAAAGGACTCAAATTTCTGAACCTCGAGGTAAAATTTAAGTAGATCTTTCCCAGAGCCGGAAATGACTGTGAATCTCAGAGAATTCTATATGAGAGAGAGTCATTCAGAGAAATTGAATTTTAAAGAACTTTGGCAAGAACTTTTAGATCTACATATTAAATGTGGGAAAAATACTAAGAGGAGAACTCCACTCATTATGCTAGAACACAGGGCAATGAGATAAAATAACATTTAAATTAAAACCAAACCATGGTTTCATCAACCTAATTTATATAAAATATTTAAAGTGAAGCATAAAATTGAAATGACAGGCCTTTGGTAGCAAATACACACAAGACTCTTTTTTCTGGGTAATCTTAATAGCCCTGTAATTCAAATCCTGCCCTCCAGGAACCAAGAGGGGATAAAATAGGGATTTCACAAACAGACCCAGAAATAGTAGGGATGGATTTGCACAAGCACAGGCTCTAGGGAGTGGGCTCTTAGCAACCATTCTTTCTGCTTCCCCTTTCGGGTCTTCAGCGCTCCCTGAAGCACTCAAGGTCTAAAACTTCTTTTTTTTTTTTTAAACACAGGGTCTTGCTGTGCAGTTCAGGCTGGCCTTGGATTTGGTTAGCAGCCTAGGCTTGCCTGGAACTCACAGGGACCTTCCTGCTCAGCCTCCAGAGGACTGGGATCACAAATGTGTGCTGCCACACTCAGATACCAATACATTATTGACCCATTCTTCTTGGAGAATTTATCTAAGGTCCTTCCTGAGCCGTTGAAACATAGCTGGTTTGGGAGCCTTATCCTACAGATCTGTGCTGACTACAATAGTGGTGAAGCACCTGATCTTCAACTCTAAATCATGAGACAGAGTGACGTCCACAGTATGCCTATTATAGGACCAATTATGCAATGGAAGCAGGACAGAGAGCCACCAGAGTCTCTCTTTACTCAGTTTCAATCTCAATCCCTGAGAAAGACAAGTGGGCACTCTGAAAATTGCGAGTAGGTCATTCTTTTGGAGGAAAGGTATAGGCAGAAGGAGGTCACTTTTCTATAACTGTCAAGATGACAAAGTCATTTTCTAAAGGAAAAACTTGTTTTCCTAACGGACTTTTGCAATTATTTAAAACTCCCTGATTAAGTAGTTTTTCGTTTCCCCACAGCAGTTTCTGCCTAAGTCACATAAGCCCATCTAATGTCATGATGTCCCCTGGTAAGTTTCCAGACAGCAAAGATTTAGAAGCCCCGGGTCAGAGGGTAACTTTGTTTTGCATTTGTCTAAGTTAAAAATGTCACCAGGCATCAGGAACTAAAGAATATGTCATAGATCTCCCTGAATAGACTGTATTTAGGAGAAGCAGCACTCCCAAACTACAACTTCCTGATAGTAGAATGAGTTGGCTGTGGTCCTAGAGAAATATAGGAAAGTGCTTTATTAACTGATCAATGAGCTTTACTTCCAAAATTGGTTCCAGTTGCTGAAATTTCAAACGGCCTACTGGCACAAAGGGATCATTGGTTAATTGATAATTACACTTTCTTTTTCCATTAAATTTCAGGAGACTTTGCTGTGCTCTTAAGCTCTGGGCTCTCTGTGAAGACTGCCATCCTGATGAATTTTATAAGTGCTCTGACTGCCTTCATAGGCCTGTACATTGGCCTGTCGGTATCTGCTGATCCCTGTGTCCAGGACTGGATATTAACAGTCACTGCGGGCATGTTCTTATATTTATCCTTGGTGGAAATGGTGAGCTTTATGGCCTTTCTATTTTGTTTTTCTAAACACTGAAGACATAAAAACAGTAAAAAAGAGCAAGTAATAAAATGGAAGGCAAAATTCAGAGAAAATGAGAAAAATATAATAATAATATAAATAATAGTATAAATGACTAGGGAAACATCCTATATATTCCAAGAAGGTAAATTGTATGTAGGAGGGATATGTTAGAAATATAGACAATGTGACGTTCTTTAGTAATTTAAGTGGAAAGAATGAAACTTTTGTAACTGTCCAAAAGTGGTCAGTAGCTCATTTTATTCCAGCCTAGAGTTATAGCTAAACAAGGAAACGTTGTGATAGTCATTCTGCTTATCCAAAGAACAACAGTCCAACTGAATTTGTCATTTAATTATCTGCTTGACCTAATTAACGAGTCATATTTTTGAAAATCAAGATTTTATCTTTGAGTTTTAACTACCAAAGGGCTCTCATGCTGGTGAAATGAGAAAGATCGTCGTGGTGCTTGGCCTCTAAAAGTACCCACTGTTTCCTCTTAAAGAGATCTTCGCTAACGCTAATAATAACACAGTCATCACTTTTCACCTCTACAATTTTACGAAGGAAATTCCTTGAACCTGTAAAATTTCACTTTGTTTTTTCCTGCCAGTTAAATTCTGATCTCTGTTAGATAAACTTGACTTTTTAAAGGTCACCCTCTGTTGGATTTGATTACCATCTAAATATCTTTCTGGTGAAATTCATGACTTTGCCTTCTCATCAGTTGTTCTTAGAAAAATAAAAATGAATTAAAATGACAAAAGAAATGCTTACGACTGAAAAATCACTCTGAACAGAAGTAATTTATGTTATTCCTTGTATCCTGGAGAAGATAAAGAAAAATAAACATGAAGGCAATATGTGAGACAGAGCCATTGGGATTCACTAATGATGAGGCAGAATCCGGATACTGTCATGACTGTAAGTAACATTTCCAGCCAGGCATAAGTGGTTCCTTCCCATAATCCCAGCACTCAGGAGGCAGAAGCAAAAGGATTGTAAATTCAAGACCAGCCTGAGTTTCCACACAGTAATATCTTGTCTCAAGAAAACAAAAGCAAAAGAAGGATTGGGAGGAAGAAGAGGAGGAAAACAAAGACAGGACAAAGGAGGAAGAAAGAAGAATACAAGAAAAAAGAAATAAGGGAATGTTTTCTAAGGAAAAAACAATGTGAAGGCAGGAGCCCAAGTGGATACAACCAGAATAACAGTATATTCTCAAGTACATTTCCATGAGATTCTCAGTGATTGCCACCATTTTAAGTCCCTGTGCATTTCTGAGTTGCTGGTTGTTCTTAATTCTTGTGAGTTCAAGCAGATGGGGTAAACACCAGGTGTACTTCCCTGCTTAGAAATGTTCTTAGGTATGCTTTGTGACCAGGAAAATGTTCATCTTAATAATGTACAAAAAGTGGACAAATTCTACTTCTATTTCGCAACCCAGTGACCCATTATGAGCTTTTGTTACAGAATCCTGCAGTCCTCTGGATTTCTAGCCTTTTGTGACTCTGCAAACAGCCTGTCAGTGACTGTTAGAGGATATGAACTTATCCTCTGTTAAAAATGTCTACCTATCAATGCTCAGATTCGCTTCTGAGCCTCCTGATTTTCAGCTTTCTACTTTTAATTTCTCTTTTCTTTATGGGTCAATTGAGGGCAATTGCTGTTTTCTTTTGAAGTTTATTCTGTTTTTAACCCAGTCTGGATCTCTCTTCAAGTATGATGGATGTATAGGTACAGTCAATCCTTTTTCTTTGTTATTGTGTCTATGTTTCCAAAATTGATCTGGGAAGATTACCAAGTGCCATTTGTCATGTGGAACTCTAAGATAAATATGTCATCCTGCCCTCACATTTCTACTCATCCTTTAAGGGCAAGAGATTGCTTATAAGAAAGCAATGCATCTGATATCCTATGAAATTCCAGCTATTATAAATCTTGACCTCGTTGTAAATTACTACTGGCCAAAGGGAAACCAGTATTCTGGCAGGAAGACAAGAAAGAAAATACTTCAGTTTTCCCCGGGCTACTTCCTAAAATCCAGGTCGCCTGCTCTCACGGCCTTCTGAGTAACTTCTAAACAAACACCGGCTCTTTCACACAGCCACAAGTTTAACTGTTGGTGTGCTCTGGGCCCATGCCAAAGCAAACAGTCTGTCTTTTAAAGAGAAGAAAACAAGGTTCCAAGCTCCAAAATAGCAAAGAAAATAAATGACAGCAACCGAAGGATAATATAATGGCTATTGGCTAAATCCTGCCTATTTTACCAGGCAGCGGCTAAGCAGGGTTAATCTTAAAAGACTCCCTAGATTTTTGCTTAGTTTGTTTCAAAGATGTTGGGTGTGTTTGATTTCAAACTCCTAAAAGAGAAAGAATAAGGGGCCAGAATGGGGCCATTAGCAACCAGATCAACAAAGAAGAAAGTCTTCTCTGGGGAAAACTGCCAACCTTCATTCTCTAAAATGGGATTGCCCTATCCAAGTGCACTAACTCCCAGTGGCATTGAATCATTGCTAAGGGAAGTTAAGAACAAATACAGCTCTGCGTGGGTGGCCAGAGGAAATCAGTTATGAAGATGAGAGTCCCAGACTAGGTTTCCCTAAAAGCAGGGCAAAAGACAAAGGTGAGTGGGAAAACAGTTCACTCTGGAGATATTCTTAGCAAACAAAGGGCTGGAGGAATGAAAACAGAAGACAAAAAAAGTCAAAACAGCGATCTGTTCCTACTAAGCTGACCAGCACTTTGAGGACTGCATCACTTAAGACCTTCTGAGGAGGCTTACACCACATGCCTCGAAACTATTTACCTGAGAGAAGCTTTGTTTGGAGCCCATCATTCAACCATCCCCAGAAGCACTATGTCTCCACATTTCATGGTAGGCATGCTTGAGTGCCGAGGCTATTCCCATAGACCCATGCTGTTACTTACCTCAGAGAACCCCAGTACAAAGGAATGGGATACAATATTCAACAGAATCAAAGATTGGTACCAAAAGTAGCCAACACCTTCTTGGAACTGGTCTTTGTAGCAGTGGCTGGGGAAGAAGATGAATGAATATGAAGTAAACACACGTGACATCTATTAATGGTTGTCTCCTTCTAGCCCAAATGATCACACCACCCTTTCGGTCAACTCTCTTCCGAAGTCCTTTCTAATTACAACCATCCAAAAACTCCAAGTTATTTAATACAAAGTATCTGGAGGAAAAAGAGCCATAGCAGCTGGTTTTGAGGCCATTTGTATTTGATATTTGTCCTCTCTGTTCTCTGGCACCCAATCTTGATTCTCCTCCCCTCTGCACAGCACTTGGATGGATCCAGGGCCCTTTCCTGGAAGGGACACCCAGGGCTTCACTGAGAGGTCTGGGCACTTACACACGTTTCCTCTAGTGGCCTGTTCACTATTGTACCAGGAATGGGAGCACCCCAAGGAATCCTCCAGTTTCCAGCTAGGTTCTTTCTTCCCCCACACTTTGTGTCACCACAACCATTGCTCAAGGTAATCATCAGTGAATTTTCCCACCGTGATGGTAGCTCTTTATTTGTTATTGGGCCACTGATATAAAAAACAGTAGGTGATCAGGTGGCAGTCATAGCTTCAAGTTCATGGGAAACTTTTTTTTTGTATTCCCTGGTGTATTCTCCCTAAGAACAAAAATCTGTGATCTTATATGCCTAAGTTTCCAGGACCAGGAAACCTGAATTTCACAAGGGGGAGAAAAAACCAGCAATAACTACATATCAATGCTTATTATTTCTGCTATGATTTTTATTATCTCTATCCTTACACTGTGTTTTGTTTCTTTATTTTCTTTGATACATGAGGTAAAAATTACAGAGTAGATTTTTAATCTTTTTATTCTAATATTAGTAATTAAAGCTATAAACTTCCTTTGAAACACTGATTCAGCTGACTCCCATGTATTAAACATGTTTTCTGTTTATACTGATCATTTTGAAATGCTTTTGAATTTCTCATGTATTTTTTTATTTCAAAGCTTTTATTATAATATTTAATTACAAAATTTAGAAAAATCCTTTCTAATAATTTCATCACCCTAGTATTGTTAATATTTTGATATACTTCCATATAATTTTCCCGTATATGTGGTTTTCTTTCCCTTTTTTTCTTTTTGCACAAGGTTGACCCTAAGAAGCATTAAGTTACATACCCAGAGCTTTTTTTATTTTAAAAAATTGTTTTCAATTAAGTTTACTGGTATATTTTAGATATAATTAATGATCATATACATCTTAGGGACTTTGTACTTTTACATGATATCATTTGATTCTTCATTTTTTCCCTAATTCCTTTGCCTTATTGCAACCCCTCTTCCCTCCCTAATAACAAAGATTTGTTTCCTTTGTATCCTCATTTTTCTTTTTTTCTTCTTTCCTTTTCCTCTTCCCTAGTTCCTCTTTCCTTTTGAATAATTTCTTGCCATTTCATAGTACCCATAATATATTTTGGTCCTTATTTACTATTTCAGTTTCTCATACCAGGGAGACAATGCAATATTTACCTATGTGTGTCCTATTTATTTCACTTAAGAATATGGCCTCAAGGTGCATCCACTTACCTAAAATGTCTCAATTTTATCCTTCTTTATGGCTGAGTAGTGCTCCATTGTATTTTTTTTAAAAAACACATCTTTTTATCCATTCATTGCTTGATGGGCATGTGAATTGTGTCCAGGATTTAGATATTATAAATTGTGCTGCTAATAAACATGGGTGCACATATATTGCTATGGTACAAGTCTGTAATTCTTCATGGAATATACTAAGAAGGAGTATAGCTGGGTCAAATGGCACCTCTGACCCTAGTTTTTGAGAAATCTCCACACTGATTTCCACAGATGTACAAATCTACACTTTTTACTAACAGTGGAGAAGGGTTCCTTTTCCCCACAGCCCCTTTAGCATTTGTTAATGGTTGATTTCTTGATGATAGCCATTCTTTCTGGAGAG